AGCTGCGGACTGCAGCACACACTGTCCCTCCAAAGCACTGAACTGCTGCTCCTCAACAACCATCCATGGCTCCCCTTTCCGCCTTCACCCAGCAGCCACTCGCTCTGCCCACCCTGCCTTCCCCTCCTCAGTCGGGCCGTGCCCCTGCCTCACCAGTGCCACCCCGCAGTCCAGAGCCTTGTTTGGGCTCCCTCTTTGTCTGCATCTGTCGTGGTCAGCGACAGTGACTGTGAAGGGTGTGGAGATCTGCCGTTAGCAGAGAGCAGAGGGTGCTCCCTCTCACACTCTCTCAAGGGGGTGCCTGCTCCCCCGGACCATCCAAGCTCGACTTCAAGGAGGAGTCTCCACAGAGCTGCGCTGGCCCTGGTCTGGCCCTGGTCCGGCCCTGAGTGCTGGTCTGCAGGGTCGCCGGGCCCTTCCGTTCATCTTCCCTGAACTCCCTTTGCGTGCCCCAGCTGCCTGCATCGAGGGTCCTGACCAGGAGCCCCCAGGGAAAGCTGTGAGGCTGAGTGAGACTTCCCCCAGGCCCAGGTCTGGGGCCTGGCCTGGCTGTCCTTTCCGGGGTCGCAGCTGGGACGTGGGCTGACGTGCACCCTGATCCTCAGCGTTGCTGTTCCCTGCACCCCTCGGTGGCCCGGGCCCAGGACACACACTCTGTCACTCTCACTCCTGGCTTCCTGCCTCTGTCCACTCCCCTCATTTCCTTGGGACCTAAAGTTATTCTGTTACGGGTCCATTCGCCTGCCTGCCCGTGTTGGGAGGTGACAGAGTACGAGGTAAGTAAAGGCTGGGATGACGAGTGGGACTGGAGACACGGATGAGCCTGGTCCCGGCCTCGTTCCCCTCCTCGGCCTTTCCAAACCCCCACCCTTGGAGCCTCCTCGCTCACGGACTCTCCCACCAGTCTTGGGAGGCCCCCATGCCCTCTCCCCGACCGCCTGGCCACTCGCTGTCTCGATTGCTCAGCTCACAGCCCCTAAAACATACTTACTTCTCAGCAGCCCATCGTCTGACACGAGTACGTTGTGTGACACTAAGAACTAGGCCCATCCCAGACCTGGTGGACAAAGTGTGTGGGTGGTTCAGGGTGGACGTCACCTGCTTGGGTCCCAGCCAGACACAGCTTTGGGGACATGCATCTGGTTGGCTGTGACACTCCTTAGCCAGCTAATTACCTGAGGTGCCTGGGATTGGGGCACTCGGCCAGTGGGTGGGAGGCCCCAGTATTCCACACAGCAGCCAGGTGCAGTTGACACCCCAGCCGTGGTGATGGGAGGTGCTGAACTGTCACTCAGAACCCCCCGGGGGCTGGGGACGTAGGTGGGAATGGGAGTGACTGGTAATGGGTCTGGGTCTCCTTTTTGGGGTGACAGAAGTGTTCTATAACTAGGTAGAGATGGTGGCTGCACAACACTCTGAACATGCTAGATGCCCCTGAACTGAACACTTTTAAATGGTTTGCTTTATGTCATATGAATTACACCTCAGTTTTTTTTAAAGAAAGGACAAAGAAAACCTTAAAAAAACCCAGAACCCTAGTTCGGCATGGTATGTCCAGAATACGCAAATTTACTGGCACAGAAAGAGCCCCGAGGTTGCCTGGGGCGGGTGGGAAGGTGTTGGGGAAGACGGGCGGGTGGGGGTGACTGGGGACGGGAACCAGGTTCTTGGGGGCGAAAGTGTTCTGGAATTGTGGTGAGGGATGCAGCACTGTGACTACACACGCTACAAACTACCGAATTTTAAGTGGAGGATTGCATAGTACATGAGTCATATCTCAATAAAACAGTTATTACCACAAACAGAATCAAAAACCAGCCCATGGTGAGTTCTGGAGAGAAGCAGCAGCATCCCAGCGGAGGTGTGTGCAGGGTCCATGGGGCTGCTGCGGGGCTGGGCTGGGACGGCACCGCTTCCCCAGGCTCCTGGGTCGCATGCTGCGCTTCTCTCCGCCGGGCCGGCGGCCTTTGCCCGCACTGTGGCCATCTCAGCTTTGGGGCACCGCGGGGCCTCGCGGAGTCTGACGGGAGCCATGAACCCTCTGCCTCTGGTGGAGGTGAAGCATATGCAGCATTCTGAACACAGAGTCCGAGGACACGGGGACCCGCCCTAAGGCCCCCGGTTCAGAGCCCCTCCGGGAGCTGTTCAGGGCCTCTGCCAGGGTCTCCGGGTTGGGGAGGCTGTGCAGCCCCAGCTGTCCGCTCACCGGGTCTCAGCCGAGGACATGAGCCAGAGAGGTGGCCGGGAGCTGCTCTGCTGGCCGTCCCGGTCCCGTCCTTTCCCCTCTGTCACTGGCACTCCCAGCCCGATGGGGGCTGGGGCCACTGAGGCTCTTGCTGGCCCTCACCGGGTCTGACCACCACCCGTGTTTCTCATGTGAGGAGCTGATGGCTCTCGAGATACAGACGCACCTCTTCCAGCCCAAATTGTTCATGAACTTGCGGCTGTGACCTTCAGGGACCACAGGACTGGAACGCTCTGGCCTCAGGTGGAAGGCTGCTCAGGCGCCTGTGGTGGGAATGGGCTAAAGGCTGCAGTAACGACTTACCTAATTGATTTATTACTGATACAAATGAAGCATTAATAATTAGTGCTTTATTAATGGCTTTGTCACCATGAAGCTCCTGCCCCTCTTCTGTTGTAATTACAACCAAGCATTCCAAAGGAATCTTCTAGAAGGTGGTGCTTCTCAGCTTATGCTCCCAAGGGACACGGAGCTGCCGCTCTCTCGAATGACAGTCATCTTTTCCCAGCTTCTAGGAGAAAACTCTGTGAAGGGGACGATTTCCTCACTGCTGCACTTTTGCAGCAGTTTTCCTCCAGGCTTCTCGGTCTTCAGGGTCGGCTCCCAGGCGCTGGAGCGGCGGGCAGGATGTGGGTGTGGCCGGGGAGGCATGTGAACAGGAGCCCTGGACACTGCTGCCCGGGCGTCCTCGGCAGCTCCCTTCGTTTCCTGGACACGTGTTCATGCTGTGACTGCGTGTGTGTGTGTGTGTGTGTGTGTGTGTGTGTGTGTGTGAGACATTTGTTTTCTTGTAGTGCAGTTGTTACTAGTGTGGTCGAGTTTTGGAAAGACTTGTCACTCACAAGGAGTGCGGGCCCCTGGGTGGGCCTGCAGCCTGTGAGGAACTTGGGTGTTGGGAAGGCCAGTCTGCTCAGAGGAGCCTTGTGGGGAGACCTCTGGGGGGAAGGCCATTTTTTTGGTCACTGCGCCTCGATTTCCCGGATGTTGGGAAGCAGTGCCCTCTGCAGCCAGGACACCAGGCAAGTGAGACATAGGGACCCATGGCAGTACCCTGCCTCGGGCGCCCCGTGCCGCCTCATGTTATAAAGGGAGGAGCGTCTCACATGGGCCTTGCTGGGGAGAGGCACAGGGCAAGTGGGGGCCACCCACACCCCAGGCCCCCGAGTCAGAGTCCCAGGACCACCGGGCTACGAGTTTCAGGGCCGCCACGTCCAGCCAACTGCCAGCCCTGTCACCGGACGCCTCCCAGAGTGGGGCGTCGCCGGGTCTGCTGCTTGGTGCAGCGTGTTCAGAATGTTTACTGACATGAGAACAAACCCATTCTGATGATGTCCCCCTGCCCTGAGGCTGTGTTTGGGGATTTCATGTGCCCCCCCCAAAAATACATGAGGTCAGTGGTGTCACAGACGTTGTAAGACCACCAGAGAAATGGGGCACAGAGACGTGTGACTTTCACTCGGCCTCTCAGCTCCTCCTAGGAGGGACTGTGCCCGTGTTCCACGTGATACCTCACCCACATTAAGATGCTGGTGGGCGGTTTGATTCCCAGTCAGGACACATGTCTGGGTTGTGGGCCAGCTCCCGAGTAGGGGGTGTGCGAGAGGCAACCACACATTGATGTTTTTCTCTCTCTCTTTCTCCTTCCCTTCCTCCCTCTCTAAACATAATAAAATCCAGAAAAGAAAAAAGGTGCTGGTGGGAGTTAGGCCTTACCTCTGGGCAGGGTCGGTGGGGAGCAGACTTGCTTTCTCTCAGCATCTGAACCGTGTTTCATGCAGACTTGGAGAAGCTTCTTAAACTCTAAGCCTGTCTCTTCCACAGACGGGTCGGTGACAGCAGCTTCCAGAAGGTGCCAGATGATGGCTGAGGGGCGCCCAGCCTGGCCTGTGCATGTGGGGTGCCTGAGTGGAAGGAGAGCCAGGCCGTGGGGGCCAGGGACCAGCTGCAGCCCCAGCTCAGGTCTCCCATGATCTCCCCCAGCTCTCAGCTCACCTGTGCTTCCTTCTCAGGGTAGAGCTTAGGGGGTTGCCGTGCCATCTGCTGGGATGAGGGAGGCCCAGTTCACACCTGATGGGACTGCCTGGGCACAGGATACTAGGCATCTGGACTGTCTGGAGAATCCCTCAGCAGAAACACGGCCTCCAGCAGGATGGGCCACAGCCTCCCTGGGCTGGACCCACGCCTGCGGCTGGGGGAGCATCTGGTTCCGTGCACTCTTGGCCTGATCTGCTGCTGGGAGCTGACTGGTCCTGCCATCGGGCTCTCTGTCCCTGCTCAAGAGCCCAGTGGGCCAGTCGCTCACCCCCTTGGGTGCAGCGGGGTACAACTGCCCCCCAAATTACATTTCTTGTCAGGTCAATGTTGATTGAGCACCTGCTCACCCCTAGAGACTCAGAGACGGGTCAGTGTGGGTCTCGGCCTTTAGTCAGCGCACACGACAGGGCAGGAGGCACACTCCTTGCTGCAGGACCTGGAGCTCTGTCCAGGACAAAGTCTCCCCTAATTTAAGGCCCAGCTTGCATCTGGGACCCGAGCGCCACACCGGTTGTGGTCCGCCCCATGCCCAAAGGCGCTGGTGGTCTGTCTGCCCTGGCTGGCACCCAGTGATGTTTGCTGAATGAATGAATGAGAGATCCGGTCTGAGGGCATAACCCCCAGGGCGCCCAGCGTCCTGTCCTGACCCAACCCACCGTGGGGACCAGCGGCCGCCCAGCCTTCTGTGCCTTCACCGCCCTCCCTGTCTCTCCCTGCCCAGGACGTCCCACTCCCGGGCCAAGGCGGAGGCAGCCCTCACCGCAGCCCAGAAGGCCCAGGAGGAGGCACGGATTGCCAGGATCACTGCCAAAGAGTTCTCACCTTCCTTCCAGCACAGGGAAAACGGTGAGTCGGGTGTGACGTGGGGGTGGGGCGGCAAGGTGCCCTCCAAGGCCACATTCCAGCAGGTTCTGCCCATCGCCACCTCACTGCGTGTTCACTCTCCCTCGTGATGGTGCATGTCCCTACAAGGGGCCTTGGCACATGCCCCCCTCAGACACACGTGTCAGAGCATGTGGTTTCAGTGTTTCTCCCCGCCTCTAGGGCTGTGCCCGTGTCCACATGTTTCTGAGCATCCCTCTCCTGATTCCCAGGATACCGAATGTGTGTGCTCTGGATGTGCATGTGGTCTGTCTCCCTCCCCTTCCCTGTTATTCTAGAACTTTCTATGATGCATGAACTATTCTAACTGCTCTGCCCACTGAGGTAGCTACTAGCCATGTGGGTACTGTGACTAGTGTGGCCGAGAACCAGCGTCCTTAGTTTTATTTGATCGTCACTAACCTATATTTAAGTGTAGACAGAGACGCGTGCCTGTTGACAGCTACGCTGGACAGAGCGGCTCTGGAACAGCGAGGGGAGCTTCCACGGTGTCCTTGGTGGGAGCTGGGAGGAGCTAGAAGCCACTGCTGGGGAACACGCCTGAGGGAGGCGGAGAGGGCTGAGAAGGGGGTGTCGATGATGAGAAGGCCTGCTGGGGCTGAGGTCCTCGCAAGCCAGACCAGCCCACCCCCCTGCCCCGTGTCCTGCCCCACTCCCCTCTGGTCTCCCTTGGAAGCTCCCGCTGCAGCAGGAGCCCTGGAGTCCAGCTAGGCCACTTCCCTCAGGGCTCTGCCTGCAAGTAGGAGACGGGGTGGAGTTGGCCGCACAGTCTCGGTCCTGAGACCACGCCCTGAGCTCACCTCCTAGAGACCCGAAGCTCCCGGCCTCACAGGCAGGGTCCTGGCCTCTGGGGCAGAGGAGGCCAGGCCTACTTCTGGGAGGCAGGAGAAGCCGAGACAGGGCACAGAGGTGTCGTAGTTTAGTCATACACATTCTGTTCCGCACTTTCACGAGGATGCTTCCGGGAACGCCACGTGCTCTGGAACTTCTAGCTGGCAGCCAGGGTGCTGGACCTGAGCATGAGGGCACCTCTCTCTGGGGTGCGGAGCCCACAGGCCAGCCAGGGAGGACCCTAGGGCTCATAGTGGACAGCTGGTCTCCTGGGGAGGCCACAGGACCCTGCAGGACTCAGTGTCCAGGCTCCTCTGTGGCCCAAGGTTCGAGGTGCAGGGGCCTGGCCCCAGAAGTCTGTATCACGGTGGGGGCAGGCCAGGAGCGTGATCACGGAGCCCTGTGATGGGGCCAGGGCTCTCCCACGTGGTGCCTGTAGGGCCCCCCACAGGGAGGGCAGTCATCCGTGTGGTTCCTCAAAAACCCTCCAGCCTGTTCCCTTCTCTGTGCTAGGAACCCGGGTGTGTGCAGGGTGGGGAGGGGTGTGGCTGCAGCCCAGTCCCCATCCTGCGGCCGCACAGGTGTGGTGGTTGAATGAGACCTGCACTCCCTGGGCCACACCCTGTGCGACAATGGGTGCAGATGCAGGGGGGCTGACTGCGTGCCTGGAGGCCCAGCATGCATGGGGCTCAGATTTCCCCACCCAGGACCACGTGGGGCCTCCCCAGGGTCTCCGCCCGCCCTTCTGTGGGACAGCCTTGGTGACTGCGCAGAGGTGTCTGCGGCTCAGCCATGTTTTGGCCCCTCTGCCTCTCAACCCCCAAAATGAGAGTGAGAGCCTCAGGCTACCAGGGGTGCCACCAACAGCATGGTGGATGTCCCCTCATAAACGGGGTGCCTGGTCCCTGCTGTACCGAGAAGTTTCTGGCCACAACAAGGGTGCTGTGTCCCCCAAGGCCTTCCCCCGCCCTGGCTCAGAGTCCCCAGTGTGGGAGCAAGGAGAGAAGCCCAACAGCAGGCTGGGAAGATGCCCCCGTTCTCTCAGAACAGGCCACCAGGAGGTCTAGACCGCCCTGAGGTGGAGGTGTCCTGTCTGGACAGGGCCGGTGGCCATAATGTTGTGGCCTCCCTCCCCAGGCCATGAGACCCCATAGGTCACTTAGCAGGAGGTGCTTCCTTCCATCCTCAGGAAGGTCCGTGGAGATAGGACCTGAGACTGCCCCCCAAAGTGGGCTGACCCCAAGTCCTTGTGCACTCTGAGCCTTGCATCAGCCCCGCAGCTGGGTACTGGGGCCAGAACTGCTGTCTTCCACCACCTGTGGTGACCTGGTCCCCCTCAAAGCACCTGAGGGGTGGGGGGCTTGGGATCCACTGTGTCCCGGACTGTTCCCCTGACGTCCTGGGGTGAGACCAGGCCTACTGTGTGAGTAAGCCAACCTGTGCGTGCCGCCTGCTCCTCCTCCACGTAGGGCTCGAGTACCAGCGGCCGAAGCACCAGGTGTCCAGCGACGACATCGAGGGGATCTCCATCGGGACGCCCATGCAGCAGGAGAGCCCGGAGCTGTACCGCAAGGGCACCACCCCCTCGGACCTGACCCCCGATGACAGCCCCCTGCAGAGCTTCCCTGCCAGCCCCTCAGCCACCCCACCACCGGCCCCCACCTCCAGGAACAAGGTCGCCCACTTCTCCAGGCAGGTATCCGTGGACGAGGAGCGAGGCGGGGACATCCAGATGCTCCTGGAGGGCAGAGGAGGGGACTACAGCCGCAACAGCTGGGGTGAGGAAAAGGCAGGGGGCTCCAGGGGGGTCCGCAGTGGCACCCTCCGCAGTGGCCAGCCCGCGGAGGACTTCCGCACCCGGGGCTCGGGCCACAAGCAGCCCGGCAACCCCAAGCCCCGGGAGCGGCGGACGGAGTCGCCCCCTGCGTTCTCCTGGACTTCCCACCCTCGGGCCGGCAACCCCGGCTCGGGGGGCGCCAAGCTGCTGGAGCTGGATGAGGAAAAGCTGAGCAACTACGAGATGGAAATGAAGCCCCTGCTGAGGGTGGACTCCCACGTGCAGGAAGCGCACCATCAGAAGAGACGCTACAGCAGGGGGGCTGCCTGCCGGGGCCAGGGCGAGGACCGGGGCTTTGGGGTGCAGAGACTGAGATCCAAGTCCCAGAACAAGGAGAACGCCCGGCCGGCCGCGAGCGCAGAGCCCGCGGTGCAGAGACTGGAGAGCTTGCGGCTGGGGGACAGGGCTGAGCACCGGCTGCTGCGCTGGGACCTGACCTTCTCCCCACCCCAGAAGTCCTCGCCCGTGGCACTGGAATCGGACGAGGAGAACGGGGATGAGCTCAAGTCCAGCACGGTAAGTGGACGCCCGACAGTCCTGGGGAGTGAGCGCCCAGGTCCACCAACCGGGACACCAAGCTCTGAGACTTCTGAGGAGTCCTCCTCCAGCTGCAGGCTGGCAGGCAGGGGCAGCAGGAGGAGTGGCTCTCAGGGTGCCGGCGCTGGCTTCCACAGCAGGGCCCTCGCCTGCAGGCAGTGGGCTGGGCGGCACTTCCTGCAGGCGGGTCCTCGAGAGGTCACTCCCCGGGTTGATGCCGCAGTGAAAGCACGTGGACGGCTGGGGAAGCTCCCAACATGACGCTGGGCAGCAGGGGGCCCAGGGGTCACCCAGACCTTTCCCCAGCTCGCTCCGAACGCCCAGCTGTGCAGGAGGGTCCTCCCTGCACTGCAGGCTGTCTCCTGGTAAGAAGTCCTCGCCAGCACTGTCTCTGAGAAGTCTCCCAGTCCTGGAGACAGAGGGCCAGACACAGGGAGCAGGTAGCGTGTCAAGCCGGGGCAGGTCCCCTCTGTCCAGGGCACACCGTTTACTTATGGCCAGGCACGGTGTTCCCCCCATATGCCAGAACACACAAGTCTTGCTCCAACATAACCTGCTTTCTGACGGGTGAGCCAGGGCTCTCCACTTGTGGGCCCGTGGCACTGCACAGACATTCTCTGGGAGTTCCTTAGTGAGGCTTCTGGCCCACACCAGGTTGGTGGGCGGGACCCTGGGGCTGCTCAGGAGGGAGGGCCTGCCTCTCAGGTGCGAGCGCTGCCTGGAAGCCCTCCTGACCCAAAGCGCACAGGATGGAGGGAAGAACAGTTCCCTGGACAGGACTCTGTGAGGAGGGGGCAGCTGGGGAGGGCTCTCGTACCCAGAAGACCTTTTGTCAGGAGGCCTCCACCTGTAAGCAGACACACTTTGGTCCCTTGGCGAAGTGGCAGCGGGAAGGGCCAATGGAACACTTCAGACCCACACGCCAGGGCGACACTCCCACAGGGTCCCCCACGATCCCACCTGCAGTCTCACTGGTACAAGGGGAGCGCAGGGGGGCTGCCTCATAGGCAGGCAGAGCCTGGCACCCGCGCTTCTCGAGTCCAGACCTCAGGACTCTGGGGCCCCATCTGGGTGTTGTCACGGCATGTGGAAGAGAGGCTTCCTGCTGGCAGACGGTCTGCTGGCTCCTGAGGCCATTTGTGCTCCCTTGATACCACTGTGAGCGTGCCTTTCTTGCTGGTGGGCAGCTCCTTAAAATGCCCCTGCCCACCCCCTCCTAGCCCCTCCAGGAGCACAGCCCCTGGGACCCAAGCCCCAGCTGGGGCTCGCAACTCCATTTTCCTCATCCCGGCAGCTGGCCGTGCGGGTGCATGTGCACCCATATGTATGTGGTGCCTGTCCACGTGGTGTGTACCCCCACCCGTGTGCACACGTATACGTGGCCACCTCAGGAACAGCCAGGTGAAGGGGCAGGGGTGGGAGGTGCAGGAAGGATTCCACATTCGGCCCACTTAACGGTGTCCGCACATCTAGGCGCTTTAACATGAAGCTCTGTTGAGTAGAAGCCAGACTTCCAGTTGCGCACCCCTCCTTACTCCACCAGACCAACACCTGGTCCTGAGGGGCAGCTGGGGACCCCGAGGTGGGGGGCAACCATGGCTGAGGCCTTGGGTGCTACCTCTCATCCTGCCCTGGGGGACAGCCCCCACACCCCTCACTGAGAGGCTTCAAGGCCGGGAGGCAAGAGGAGGAGCGCCTGTGGTCTGAGGCGCTCTGGGGCGCCAGGCCCCCCACGCCCCAGGAACTGCTCGAAGGAAAGCCCTCCTTCCTGCTCCCGAGGGGCCGGGCTGCGTGGGGATGGCAGTGAGCACAGGGCTGGAGCAGCTTCCGGGAAGATGGGTTCACGGGCCTATTGGAGGCTTCTCCCCTGGCCGGTTATTGGATCTCAGGATGAATTTAGGGGCCCTCTGGGGAGGCTGTGTCTGAAACTGAGTGGCATCAGAAGTCCCAGCTGTGCAGAGCTGGAAGCAAAAATAACGTGGGCGGGGGATGCTTGCTTGGCCCTGGGAGAGATGCCCGAGTTTCCAGAGCCACGAGGGGAGGGGTCTGAGAGCAGCAGCTGCAGACTGACCATCACATGGGCGCCCTGCCCCCCAGTCTGACCTCTGAGGGGCTCCCACTCTGAAGAGCCAGACGTCGGGTTTCTGCTGTCTCCTAAGAGATCCGTCACCCGCCCACCCTCTCGGATCTCCTGCTGTGGCCTGGGGCTGGGAGGGCCAGCGGGGCAGTAGGGGCGTTGGCCAGAGAGAGCACACTCCAGACCAGGCCTCGGGCTCACTTCTCCTCTCCTTCTGTTCCAGGGCTCGGCTCCCATCCTGGTAGCCATGGTGATCTTGCTCAACATCGGAGTCGCCATTTTGTTTATTAACTTTTTCATCTGATGAGATTGTCACATTAGCAAAAATACCAGTTGGTGTGCAAAAGGGGGACGTTAAAAGCAAAACAACAAAAGGGAAAGGATCATAACTCAGATAGCCCATGGCTACTTCCAAGTTTCTTCACAGAACAACACGATTGGGTATTACTCACAGTTTGCCTTTTTTTCTGGGTAATGTTTTTTGGATTTTAGCCAGAATTCTTTGCTTGTATAACACTCTGCTGTGTGGCATGGCAGAAGGAGGCCAGCACGCCGACCCTCCAGCTTGAAGTGGAAAGAAAAGGGATCCCGGCATATCAGCGGCAAAAAAATAAAATCATCATCGTCATCAATGTCATCACACTCCTGCCTGGGACGTGGAGGAGGCGGCAGCCCAAGGAAGACCCCTCCGCGTGTCCAGCTGTGCCCGGCCAGGGGGGAGCAGCTGCCATGAGGTGTAACGCGGGGAGGCAGTTAACTCTGCTTTTCCTCTGTCCTGGAATAGCGGGTGACAAGTATGGGCGTGAGGCGCAGGGATGAGGGTGCCCCACCCTGGCTGGGAGCAGCCCGGGCCCTTTTCTGTTCTAAATCTGTGCTGCACCTTTAAGGAAGCAGAGGTCTAGCTTCTCTTCTCTTCCCACGGAACAGGTCACAACCCTGCCCTAGTCTCAGCACCGCCCCGAGGCGTTCCTTAAAGGCCAGATCCCCACACCAAGTCTTAAAGCCAAGTTCTTCTCTCCCCCGGGTCCCCCCATTTCCCGAGCCCCCCCACCAGACCCCAGTGGGGCCGTGTGCAGACGTCCACAGGCTGTGGAAGCCCGGGACTGGTGCTGGAGGGCAGGGAGCAGTGTGGGGTCCCCTGGGCCACCAAGTCTAGGCTCTGAGCATGTGGCATTCCTGTATGTACTGTGCAGGACAGGTACACAGGCTCCCACGTCCCTGTCAGATGTCTGTGGCCCTTAAATGACGCCATCATCTCATTGTCACTGAGCCCACGGGTTTCGCATCTTCGTTCTGTGCCTGCAACTTCCCCCACAGACATGCCTACTCCTTCCAGATGCCTCAGTCATTCTCTGGAGCCGGTCTGGTCCCAGGACAGGAATGTGGTTGCAACCCAGTGGCTTGAAAACTCCTGAGGAGTCGCTGCATATCCATCTCCCCCCCGACACTAAACACAACTCGTTTCAGTCAAAAACAGGTCCCTGGTGTCTCTGCCTTCTCGACTAGCATTGCTCTGTCACCCAAACAAAAGAACAAGATTCCGGAATGTTTCCGTGTCCTTTTGGTCCTAGCCACAGAGCCAGACCGGCCTGTGTGCATGGCCGTGTCCGTGAGGTCATGGGCACGTCCATCCACAGGTCCCCCTGTGCTCACACCCAAGAAGGTCCTCCGAGGGAGTTCCCACAGCCGTCCTGGGTACAGCCCGTCTATGACTCTGCCTTGCTTTGCTTATGTTTAGCTGTTTCTCTGCTGTCTTTCAAGCAGATTTCTTTACTACACTGCACTGGATTGCTATATTTTTAACCAGAAATAAACTAAAGATTAGAGCATGTTCCAGTTAAATTCAGTTTTATTTTTTTCTGTTATACATTCACTCCCCATTCCTTCTCACGGTTTGGTTCAGGTTGGGGTCTTTTCTGGGGAGTAGGGACATGGGAGAGGGAGGGAGGATCCGTAGGAAATACATTTCTGATAACGTTGCTTTCTAAAGGGGTATTACATCTTTTTGTACATCTTATTTTCCATTCCTCTTTTTTAATATCGAGTGGTTGCTGCAGACCTGAAGTGAACCAAATAAAGATGCCTGCTCCTTGCAGCTCTAAGAATCATCCATGCTGGGATATGTGTTTTATAATCTGTTTGCAACTCTTTGTAAAGATCATAGGCTTTTTTGTACATTCCAACAACTGCATGACAAAAATGGTCCCTACAAATGCAGGGCACGTATTTACATACAAACACCGTGAAGTAGATGGATGAATAAAAGCAACAGCACAGAAACACGCATCACTCAACAGAAGCAGTAGTGGTTTCATGACTAGGTGACTCCATCACTAGCCCAGCTGCCAGTCACACACACGTGAAAACCAAACCGACCCCCCTCCGCACCTGCAGAGGGCGGGGCCATTTCCCTGCACTCCCTGTGAATTCCCAGTGGATTCCACCAAGACCAAGACATACTAGTTCTGAGGGACTCCAGAAAGGTCCTTTTCAGTTGTTCCAAACAGGGGGATGAAAAACCAGGCTGCCGCGCAGCACCCCTGCAGACAGGCTGAATGCTTTCCATCAGTCCAGCCTGCTGCTCCTACCCGCCCAGAGCCTCGGGTTTCCCCGGCAGGGGCACCCGTCACCTCACTGCAGGGCCAGGTCCGCTGACCTGCTTCTCTCATGCCCATGCCCGGTGGATGTGAGCGTGCTGAGCTCACGAGGACACGGGAGACTGTGGGGAGGAATAGATGTGTGTCACAGCTGGCCCCCAGTGGTGCAAAGCGCTGACAAGTTGCGCTGACAAATTTTAATTAATCCCAGAGCAGCCTCGTGAGAGTCGTTTCTCCCCTGACGTGCCCTGGATGTGAACATCAGAGGCAGAGACATCGAGACACCCAAGGTCCAGGGCTGGGCTGCGGGGAGGAGGGCTCACCCCCCCAGGCCCGCCTCTCCTCACCCGCCCAGGCCGGGACCCTGCACTCGCACCTCACCCCCAGAGAGCTGGAGAGGACGCTGCCCTCTGAGGCCACTAGGCATGTGTCCACATCGGCGGTTCACCAGCTCCACTCACCGCAAGTGCAAGGAGCCTTGTGCACTGGATTTACTCATGGTTTTCATAACGTTTAGTGACCATACGGGGCCTGGGTGATTTCAGGCCCCTGGAAAATTCTCCTCACCCATCCTTTTGAGTTCTAAGTGTTTCAATCATTAGCGCACAGAGAGTCCCACATTCAGAGGTGAGTTATGCAATACACAAGCCAGGGAAGATGATGCTGATGTAGAAAACTCCAGTGCGGCCACAAAAATGCAACGCCCACTGCCAAACCACTCGGGAGAGGGGACCCATCGGAGTGCAGCAGCCGACTCACTCCGAAGACGCCCACGACCGCACCGAACGACCCGCACACTCGGGTTTCTGCCGAAACGCCATGGTGCAGGCTGCGAGTAAACACACGTGTGGCAGGGTGACGGGCTCTTTCCGACACGCACTAAACCTGAGGTAAGTGTGAGGTCTCACCAGCCCACAGACCCGCCCCCAGCACCTGCCTGGCGCCCAGGACGCACAGTGGAGCAGCCCCCCCATCCTGGCTAATGCCTGATGACCCCGCCTGGCTGTGAAAGCGCTCCTGGTCCCTTTCAGAAGCGTTCCAGTGCAGACAGTAGGTTCACAGCCACCCTGCTGACAAACAGGGCCTTACTGAGAGCCCAGTGGAGAGGCTCCGGCCCCACAAGTCCAAGACATTAAGGACTTGTTAAAGCAGATGAAAGATTTGCATTTGGGGGGGGTGGGTGGGTTTGATAATCCTTTAAAGTCATCCAAGCCACCACCACCAGCATTATCCCCCGGGCAGGGTGTTCCTGCCAAGGTGGTTCGCCCTGTCCCCGAGGGCCGGAGGGCCCCCAGAGCCCCAGGGAGTGCGCCCCAAGATGCCCAAAGCGACCTCCTCCCAGGCCACTGCTTGTTTCACTCCACCTGCACAGTGAGACTCCAACGTGCAGGGTGGAAGGAGCGAGCGTGCTCTGTCTGCGTGAAGCTCAGTGTCTTCACCTCTCACGGGTCTGTCTTCTCTTCCGACCTTCCTTGCCTTCGGTCCCAGAACTTGACATTCAGGTGCCCACCAGATTCCGTGGCCTGTTTCCATAGCTGAGTGTACTGCCTGACCCCACAATGACCCCACAGTACGGAGCACAGCTGACAACACCTCAGTTTCGTGACATTGAGTAAACACCTCCACACAGTCATTCTCAGTCTTGCCAAGGACAAGGATTTGCTCCTAGTCAATTAAGCATGAAAGTGAAGTGACAGGATCAAGAGCCCAGATAAGAAAGCAGTGAGGGTGAAGCTGACTGCCGGTGAACTTGAAGGGTCTGGTAACCAGAGAACTAGTTTCGTTCTCTTGCCCAGGGTGGGGAAAGTGTCAGGCAAGACTACCAGGAAGCAAAGACTGAAAAACCATCTGTCCCAAGTGCCAAGAAGTGTCCCTAACTCAGCCTTAACACAAACAAGAAAAAGTATAGTTGCCTTTGTTTAAAAGAACAAAACGCAGCTGTATTTTCACAATGTACCGTATGCCCAGCCGACGGGAACTACTAGATACACGGGGCGCCTGAAAGCTGGGGAAGCACAGGGTTGCAGTCACTGTGACATGGGCGGGGGGCAGCCCTGGCTCAGGAAGCCACGGGAGGAGACGCCCAGCACCCAGAGAAACGTGCAGGAGGCAAGAGTGCAGTGAGGTGCCCAGAACAGGGGACAGACACTCCTGTGGGCGACGGAAGCAATGCTTTAGAAGATGGTAAATGTTCTCCAAGCTCATAGAACAAACGCTGTTTTCGGAGTTTGCCTCCACAGGAAACCCCAGCACAGAAGTGCCCGAGACAGACATGTGCAAATGCATTCCTGACCCTCAGAAATGCAGAGCATCAGCAGGGGCAGCGCCAGGTGTGGCCAGGAGCTTGCCATGAGCAAGCTGGGTGCAGGGGGTCCAGGTCTGGGGTTCGGGGGACAGCGAGCAGGGCAAGGTGAGAACAGCAGGCCTCACACACCTACCTCACTTGTCTGCCCCACCACCCCCCACTGCTTGAGACACAGACACACAGCTCACTGTGCGCCAGGGCCATGGGTGCAGGCCCCACGCTTTGCATGCCTGTCATCATGTCCGTGCACTCTCCCGTGGCCCTTCCCATCACGTCTGTGCCACACACGGGTGCAGGTCTCCAGCTGTGCTGCCACTGCCTGGTGACATGGTGACAGCGGCAATCCAAACCCTTGAGGGCAGAAAGCACCAAGAAGTGGGGGAGGTCAGTCTGGACTGGGGCCCAGGTCCCCGCCGCCCTGCCGGTTGAACCAGCCTCCGCCATTCATCCACGCTGACTGAGAGCAGACAAGCACCAGGGCTGCTTCCTTGAAGTCAGCACTGAAGATCAGGGCGCTCGTGCTGCAAGAACACTTAGCCTGAGAACTTCTCTTCCTCTCTAAATACTATTAGTTCCAGTGGGCAGGTACACCAGGCACCCACTGACCTTCCATGAGTGACGCCTACTCCGTACTGTATGAGCCTGTGAAAGGCAGGGTCAGGAGGAGGGCTGCCCCAGGGGGGTCTCCCAAACATCAGAGCAGGTCAGGAAGAAGACGGCGTGAGGCTCAGCAGGAAGGAGTCGGCTCTGAGGCCCAGCTCTGCGCCAGGGTGCTCCGGCACCCCAGCCCTGGGCCCGAGCTCATCCCCCAGCCCACTAGTGTGCTCGCTGCCGCCAGCAGAGCAGCACGGCCTGCACCCTCACCCCCCCTTCTGTCCGGCCCTCACACACGCCATGGCTGACACAGGACGTGTGTGTCCCTGACCACTGACTGCCAGTGCCTCCTGAACACTGAGCTGAACACGACAACCTTCTCTAGCTGGACCCTGCTTGTTAGTACCAGTCGCCATTTCCAAAGAAATGCCATCCAGTGAAGCCTGAATGAAATAAAACCCGCGCATCCTCACCATCCAGGGGAGCTGCATGTGAAACGCATCTTCACTCTAGCCATGAAACCACTAATCCTGACGCAGATGCCTTTCTTGGGAAGGAACTCTAACATAGCACAGACCTCTCTCAACCTGCATTTTCTTTCTCCCATTTTTCCCCCTGCGGTGCATGTACACTGTTTGCTAATACTGTGCAATCATTCTGTGCACTGGCAAGAAAATGTGGACTATGTTCTGTTTTTCTTACTAATGAAGCAGCTAAAAACATTACCTCAGCCTTTTTCTTTTAGCTGGAAAAATAGCTTGGTTACTTAAAAAATGAAAATAAAATAATTTTCTTTCATGAATGTAGATGTTTCGGTCATACCACACCACACGTTCACTGTCTAAGAGAAGGGACGCTGCTGTGGTCAAGGAGAGTCCTGCCCGTCTCAGGGGCAGGCGCACCCATGGGAAGTCAGGCGACTTGCACCATCTCACACATCAGCGTCTTCACTCGGGTTCCTTCTAGTGACAGAGTTTCAAGACGGATGGTTGCAACTTGCAGAACTGAGCCCCCGCTAACAAAGAGCGTCCCTCTGCCATACTTGGAGGATCTTCTTGTTTGGAGCAGGAAAGCCCTGTGAGCACGAGCCTGACACGGGGCCCGCCTTCCCACGGCAGCATTCGCCCACGTGACTGGGCGGGCCCCTGTCCGTCCGCGGCCGCTGGGCCCCGACTGCTCACCCTAAACTCAGCGCCTGCAGACTCCTACCCCGCCAGTGTTCACTCCCTTCTGCCAACTAACGTGCCCCAAGGATTTCACAGTATTGTTTTTTCAAACCTATTGTAATTTTCTTAAATACCAACATCTGTTTCCCACGGGGCAGTGACTAGGTACCTTCTTCCCCATTACTCTCCGCCTCAGCACCCACCGCCGACACACCACAGTCTCTCCACGTTCACTCCTCGGATGAGACCCGCCCCCACCACACGGAGCCCACAGTCCCCACACACAGCTCAGCGTGCCCGTCTTCAGCAACAGCGACAGCTTCCACAGGGGCTCCTCACCCCAAGCCCAGCTCACCTTGGTCCCGGCACCAGGGCCACCAGCTGCTCTGGTCAGTGCCTCAGCTTCCCGCTGGACACCATGGTCAGACCCCTGGTGACCAGGCACAGCCGGACTCAGAAGGCACTGCCGAAGCTCTCTTACAAACGAAGGGTGACTGCAGTTTACACTCAGGACACACTGGGACTGGTCTCGGGTGACCAACCACTTACACGCAGCCTGCTCCCCGATGTAAAACACCTGAGAAGGCAGGCGTCACCGGACAGCCCTGCGGTGCACGCACGGAACTCAGACAGATGGCAGGTGGCTTCCGGACTCGCTGGGGCGACACCTCGTCACTTTTCCTTCATGCCAGGACACAAGTGTCCCCTCCCTGCCATTCTCTGACACAATCAACACTTGTGTCACCTTCTCACTGCAACACACTTGGGGGGATTCAAACCAAGCTGGCTCCGAATCTCACAAGCGGAGGGCCCCTCCTGAGGGCCCCTTTCCCCCCGAGCAGGATGGCCCTGCAGAGGCTAACTTTCACCAGCTCTGCCAGTACCTGGCCCCTCCATGCACTGCCACTGTCACCTAGCCACCAACTTTCTGCTTGTACCAACTTAGTTTAAAAAAAAATCGGATGTCAAATTGCAGTAAACACCACTTCCACACCTTCAAAAATACCAGCACTTTAAATGATGAACACTCTGAAGCTTAATTGGTCATCCCCTTGATTTTCACTCACTCCAACCCAATCCCAAGAGAGCCACGGCCTCTCTCCAACCCCTTCGAATTCCTCTTCCTTCAGCCTGACCCAAACAGTGGCTCAGCCACTCCTGGGAAGTGGGGGGAATAGGGAACTCATCACTCTCAAAGCCCCACGGAACCCTCCACAGAGCTCTGACACGGTGTCTTCAGGGCTGATGTGGCAAGGTAACAGGCCCCAGTAAGAGAAGGGGTAGAGTCCACCAAGGGGTTGGGTGTTAGAGGGCACTTACCAACGACAATCAGCCTGCCCAGGACAGCAAGACAGGCTGCACCACTGCACGGCCCTTGCCGACCTGAGCCTGGCCGCCTCCGGGTTGTTCTGGCTCCAATAAGGCAGTTGGCTTCATACCAACCTCTCATGGCCAAGGTGGCCACTGAGGTGTCGAGAGCACTCAGTCAGGCAGACCAGTCACCAGGAACCAGAAGGGCGGCAGGGCGCTGGCTGCTGCTCGTGGGGCATCTCGTGGTCCTGGGTCGAGTTCCCACCTCCCTGGCGGCTGCACACCAAAGGCACACTGTCACTGGTGTCTTAACCACAGCAATTACACAGTGGAGACAGCACCTCTTCTGGATGCTCGTTTGTTTAATTCTCACAGGTTCTGATCAACCTCCTCACTCAAACTGCATCTTCAGTAACAGCCCCGTGGACATGACAACAAAAAATACATTTGTACAAGATGCTTCTTCTTTGAGGGTTATCTCTCTTTAAACTTAGTTGATTAAAAATTATTGTCTACTTTCAAATATCATTTAGCTACAGGCTCCTCTAAGAAAAATGGCCTCCGATGACAGCTGTGCTGGAGCCACCCGGATCTCCCAATCAGCTCTTCCCAAAGTCTCGGCCAAGGCTGAGCAGCTGCACAGCCAGGCCTGGTGTGCTCGTGTGAAAGGACCGGGCGGACGGCCCTGCAGCCTCCGTGAGGTTGCCGCAGGCCAGCTGCGGCACTCAGCTGGCTCTTCAGCCCCGCCCGAGGAGCTGCCAGCTAGACTCTGCCCAGAACGCCAGAAAAGGACTCAGGCTGCCCAAGTACCCAAGGAAGTCACCAAAATATGAAGTTAATGCCGGAACGCCTTGCCCTTCTACCCAACACAGCCATGCTAACCAGCCAGGTGCCGCGCCGACACCCACTAGCCTCTCCCCGATGACCAGGGCTCCCATGGGCCCTGCAAGGCCCTGAGCCCGGAGAGAGGCTCTGGCAGGCAGCTGTGGCAGGCCAGGCTACTGCAAGAGGAGAGCCTCTTATTTCTCATCAGCCTGCAAGAGCCCATTTCCCCTCTGGATCCTTCCAGGTCACACAGGTCACACCCATGGGAGCTGGCAGGGGCTGAGCCTCACGAGAAGGTAAAGGCAAGGTGGGAGGAGGGGCACACTGGCGCGGTCCTTCCCCTGAAGCCGGGGCCCACGCCCTGCTCTGCCAGAGGCAAGCATTCCCACTTGTTTTTCTTAAACAGGTAATGAATGGGATGTTGGCCCCAATACTGAAAACTACATTCTCATTGTTGAGAAGATATTTAAGATAAAAGAATGCACCAGGTGGTAATTCAAAGCCCACTTTTGACCCCAATTATACAAATGAAAAGTGGTCTCTTGCCACCCCTCTTGGAGCAGGCACCAGCTAGTGTGTGAGCACACCACGGCGCCACGACTTCTGCTGGGAGGGACCCCGCTCCCAAGGCAGGCGCTACGCAGCAGCGCTACATGGGGACAGTGGGGAGCTGCCCTCTGTCTTTCCTTCTGTCACTTGGCAAATGACAGCCTTGAGCCCAAGGGAAGAGGAACAGAGGATGGCTCCACCACCTCCTCCCCAACCAGGCTAAGGGAGCGGTCCTGAAGCTTCGGGTGCACTCATCACCAAGAGAGCCCCAAAACAGCCAATGGCAGGAAGGGGTGGACCCGCCCAGCCAAGAGCTATTTTACTTTACATATAGTAAGAAAACTTGTGCAGGTGGTTGCAGGGCTACTCCTGATGATTTTCAGCAGTCAAAAAGTCAACCTCCAGGTTGATGCCACACGGTCAATTGGAATATTTATCTCCTGCTTTTGCAGAAGGGAAACCCCCACAAAGCACAAATGTCCCAGTTTTAGTAGAACAGAAATGTGCTTCCCGTGGGTACCTCACATTCAAAGTGCTGCCTGCTGTGTGGGTGGCCCCCCTTCAGCCTGGCCCTGAGCCACAGGCCCCAGCAGGGCTTTGGGGCTGCAGGGCCACACAGAAGACAACCTTGGCAGTGGCCTCGTTCCAAGTCCAGTTTATTTTGAATCATACCAGTGATGCCGGGAAAGACAACCTCCTTCAGTTTAGCTGCTGGCCAAGCCTGGTGGCTCACGCAGAGTCGTCAAAGAAAGCCCTTGCCGTGGTGTGGGCGACCTTCAGGACTCTCTTCTCCTTCGCTTCTGGCCCAGCGCCGTCTCGGGCAAGCCTCACCCAGTACTGCTCGGTCCTGGACAGGTAGTCGGCAAACTGCTCGCCAGGCGTCACCAAGGGGTGCTGCGGCCCTTTTGTGGGGAAGGAGAAGGAGAAGAAGCACATTCAGCTGAGGAAGCAGGCCCGGCCCAGGTGGTGCAGGCCGCCCGCTCGGGGCCCAGCGGAGCGAACGCGCTCACACTGCCTTACGGAAACGCCGCCGACTGGCGCCACTCGAACAACAAGCTGCTCCCAAGTGCTCCAGGTGCGAACGTCTTGTTTAAAAATGCAGGCCTCCCTCAGGGGCGTATCTATCTACAAAGCAGTCCCACTCTCACACACTCACCCCCGTCCTCCTCGCCGCTGTCCTCGCCGCTGTCCTCGTCGGCCTCGTCCTCCTCTCCGCCCTCAGCGCCCTCGGCCGTGTCGCTGTCCTCATCCGAGTCGGTCTCCTCCAGCCACTCCTGAGTGTCTTCGGAGCACAGTGAGCATCGTCTGAGTGTCGGTGCACCCAGAGCCGGGGGACCAGGGCCAGGAGCTCCTGGGGATCCCCCTTCTCACTGAAGAAACTCGACCTGAAAGCAAGCCGCCTGCCCCCCACCCCACCCATGTCACAACAGTTTTTCCTGGACCCTAACAGAGGTGGCGAGGATGAGACCGGCAATACCAGAAAACCCATTTCAGAGTTTTCTCCACCCTCACTTTGCTGTAAGAAACAAATCCTTCACCAGCCGTTTTATACCTTCTCCTACATGTGTGGATTTTAACTTAATTTTTAGCCTCAGATCTCAAAGAAGTGAGTAGTGACTCAAGAACTGAGCACTCTATCGCTGGCGCCAGCCTGTGGTACAGTGTGAACGTGAAGGAACGCGGCAGCTCGGATCAGAGAGCAAACGGGGCCCAGAGGTTCAGGTCACAGACGTGAAAGGGGCTGCTGGGTCTGTCCACATGCGGAGAGGTCTGAGGCTCACGGGAGTGGTGTCAGGAGTGAGCCTGCGTCCTGGGAGGTAACCAGCCCACTGCCCCAGTGCCCAGAGTAGGATGGGTGTGCAGAGGAGCGGCCTCCTCCCTGTGGCCAGGGCCTGCCCTCACGTGAACAGCCAGAGAGCACACGGCCCGCCGGCACTGGGTGGACCTGGGTGGCACACGTGATGAAGACACTCTCACCCCAACCCGAGGAAGTGCTTACCCCACGACAGCTCACCTGGATCCGTCTCCACCAGGACCGTCCACTCATCCATCTTATGCAGGTCAAGGCAGTACAAGTCGTTGAGGGTGACCTGGCGGCTGCCGGCCTCAAACATGCCGCCATATAGGTAGAGACGGCCGTGTTTCACAGCCAGCATGGCGTTGGAGCGGGGACAGGGTTCCACCGAGGAGCTGCCCGCCTCCTCGGGGCTGTCATCCTCACCCAACTGTGGCTGTTCTGACGGGCCCGGGGCAGCGAGCACCTGCTTAATGGTGACCACAGTCCCATCCTCTGAGACCACCTCTCTGACCACCTCCAGCGGTGCCTGGGCACTGGCCTCTGCACACTCCTGCTGGTCAGCACCCTCAGGCCCTGCTTTCGTGGCCCGCCTGCGCTTCCTCTTCTCCAGCTTGGGTCCCTGTTGACAGAAAGCAGAACAGCCCCCTATAGCGCTAGACAGGGGGGCCTGCAAGCCCCAGAGTGTGTGGGGAGCACCACCCACCCCTCGTGCTGGCAGACAACTGGAGGGCCGCACCCCCATTCCACTGGCTGGGGGGGCGCCTCTACCCATGTCGCCCCTCAGAGGAGGTGGGAGAGGGTGGTGAGCGCAGGATCAGGCCCTCACGCTCACCCAGCTCTCAGCAGAGGCACCAGGGCCTCACCCAGGGCCAAGCCTCTGTCAAAAGGACAGCCTCACTCCCTCGGCCTCAGGCCCTCACCACATCAGCTGGAGACGCAAGGCCCCTGGGGGTCCCACTACTGGGACAGGACCCATGTGTGCCTCTCTGGTGCCACAGCAGGGACAGAGGTGACCAGTTCCCTGCTTCCAGTGACAGCTCACAGAGCCACACAGAAGGACCTGGGGACCTGGGTGTCTCAACACCTGGCCTGGGAGGCAGAGCCAGCTGACAAGACCATGCAGCCTCTGCCCAGTGCACCTACGGAGGTGACAGCCAGGTGCCCCATGTCAGGCCTTATGTCTGGTGCACAACACACCATGGCAACTGCTTTGGAGCCCAACTCTACCTTTATCTGTCCCTCAAACCAGCGGTTCTTGGTGGCATCATAGAAGTACAGGTCGTTGAGGAAGTCACCCTCCAGGCTCTCCTCCTCTTCCTCATCACAGACACCCCCGAAGAGCAGCGTCTGGTGGTTTGGTGCCACGGCCACGGAAAAGCCAGACCTGGGGGTGGGCTTGGCACCTGAAGGGTTAATCCGGGTCCACACCCATCTGCCTGTCACAGGAAAGCGGAGGTAAGATGCAGGGATGGAAGGGCACCAAGAGCCAGCCAATCGCATGAATGTTCCCAGAAACCCCAGTACTAGGATAGATGAAAAAATGCAGGACTGTGGCTAAAAATACAGAAAATTTTGCTCCCTCTGTAAAAAAAAACAAAACACAATTCAATAACCCACCGCAAGTTTAATTCTCCCTGAAGTTTAGTTTGTACTGAACTTCAATACAAGGGTCACCTTTTTCACAAACCCTTCAAACACTGCCCCCTGGGGGCACTTTCCAGCTGTGCATGGGGCCAGGCGTGAGACAGGGTGTGGAGGGGGGCACCTTCCAGCCATGGAGGGAGGCAGGGATGAGGCACAGCATGGAGGCGGGCAGGCCCAGTGCTGGGAGAAGCCCTCGCCGCACCCTGGCCTCCATGAGGGCCCTCACTCCATCCTCCCTCCCCCCTGTGCAGGCTGCAGGGTCGTGGCTGCATGCCTACGGGCCCTCCTCCTACAGGCAACACCACCTTACTGTCCTCCCTCTGGCTTGTGTCTAATTTCTGTGATCACCCTCAACATGTAACCTAGTGTAAAATGTGGGGGTCAATTTTCCACCACATCTTGAAAAGGGAAGTGAGCTATTCCCTCTAACAAACATTAAAAAAAGCTTAACACAAGTAGCAAACATTCTACTGTGTCCTGCCCATGTGTCCTCCATCGGTGCACAGCATAGGGTGACTCCAGGCTGCACCCATCAGTGGGCTCTGGGATTGTCTCATTGCCACCAGCACTGTAATGCTGGGAGGAGACAGAAAAGGACACACATCAGAGTGCCCTGCACACAGCCAGGTAAGACGTATTTGTGTGCTGCCTACATGCGGGCACGTGTCAGCTCATGGTGCACCACGTCCCTCTCACCAGGACTCAAGGGCCCGATGGCCAGGATGCTGGGGGCAACACACAAGCTTGGGGCCTCCCTCTCTGGAACATAGTCCAGCCTTCAAGTTCCAGTCCACTGAGGTATAAACTGAGCAAGTTGCCACATGGCTCTAAACCTACATTCCCACTTGAAAGTGCAGATGTCCTCATCAGTCATGCAGTAAGTTGGCACCTGAGAGGCGCCTGGGTAGGTATATTTCTAAAGCCTTGACTTGAAGAATTTTAGAGCAGAAAAGAGATGAAGGTATTCTGTAGAACAATCCCTCCTCTTACAGAAGACAGGCCTCACGGGGAGATGAAATAATGCACTAGAGGTCATGAAGCGGGCCTAGATCATCCTGGATCCCTTGGGTCCAGTCCAGTCATCACAAGACCTGGGTCACACAAAGGAACCATGACCTTGCTTTTTGTACAGGAGCTTCAAAAAGTGACCACTGGGGACGTCAGCCCCACAGTAAGCATTCCAGAAGTCTGCAACCTAACAGCAGTCACTCGATCCTGAGCAAGAACGAGAGAAATGACCAGAAAGCTGTGGCTCCCGCTCTCTGCAAAGGGAGTTCTCAGGCTGGCAGTGCTTTCAAGCCAGCCCACCCTCAACTCCCTCCGAGGGTGAACACTCCTCACCTGCTTCTGCTGTGCAGACATGCAGGCAGCTGAGGTTATTTATGGAATGTCCAGCCTGGCCTGCTCAGGGGCAAGGACAGTTTGTCCACAGCTCCAGGCGGCACACAGGAGGCTGACCACCAACCCCACGTCCATGAGGGCAGCTGGGCTGGTTTCTCTGTCCTGCCTTTTGTAGCAGCATGCCAGCCGCCCACAGGCCCATCCTCCCACACAGTACACGAACCTTCTCTCCCTTCCTCAGATTTCAGCAGGAACATGTCTGAATGCTGGATGCCTTTGTCCACATCTTTCTTGACTCTCTGCAAAAGAAAAGGGGAGTCATGTTAGAATTAGCAGGGCACCAGCCACAAGATCTAAGAGTAGATTTTAAATTTTAAAAACCTGCCATCCTAACCACCACGATCATGCCAGAAACACCCTTGTGCTCTTCCTTACCACAGCTACCCGTAGCTTCTGCAGCAACCCTGCTTTCAGTGGACGGGGGCTCTGATGGAGACCCCGTGGGGCTGCTGATCATATCACGATGCAGCTGCCCCTGCATTTCAGTCCCTGCATGTCTTCGGTTCCCATCGTTCAAATCATGTGACACAGGCCTCGCTGCAAGGCTCAGACTGATGTTGCAGAAGCCGACCACTACCCATGTGAAAACTGCTCTGAGCTTTTAGAACAAGCTCAGGTGTCTGAACCCAGAGTCTTCAGCTCCAAACCAGTGCTGTCAGCTGGCCAGACCAGACACCTCATTCTCCACGGCAACGTCCCCAGGCCTCACGCCGGAGCTGTCACCCAAACACTCAGCACATAATATCCTGGGTGGAAGGATCTCAGTACATCTTAACTTCTTTGTATTTGTCCTTTAAACTCCCTACTTTAACAAAATCTTAATTTCAGAGTAGTTGTACATGTACAGAAAAATTCAGAAGACGGTACCAAGGATTCCCCCCGACCCCACACTCAGGTGCCCTACAGTTAACATGTTACATTAGCGGGGCCCATCTGTCATAATCAATGAACCAAGAGACAAGCCACTATTAGCTGAGACGATTCTTTATTTAGATTTGCTTTGTTTCCCCTACAGTCCTTTTCTGCTCTAGGACACCAGGCTACACTTGGTCGTCACGGACCCTCCGGTTCCTCTGGGCCTGACAGCTTTTCGACTTGCCTTGTCTGACGGCCGTGGCAGTCTGAGCAGTGCGGGCCAGGTGTTCTGCAGAGTGTGGGTTTTCTGCAGACTGCATAGGGCTGTGGGGTTTCTGGGGGTGGGTCCCTGGGGTACAGACAGCACCCCTCTCATCACATCAAGAATGCATGCTGTCACCATCACTTATCACTCCCCCACCGCCAACTTTCCACACTGTCCTCTTCCAGGGGACACCACCTGGAAGCCCCCACTTACAGAGAGGGAAGTCACACTTCGCCTCTCGGAGGGCGCACTGTCCACCCGATGACTGTGGAACACTGCACTGGAGTTCTGTCTCCTCCTCCAATTTACCTCCTTGACCATTCGTCTGTGTCATACGGATCCGTGGTTATTGACATTGCACATCGGGCGGCAACCCAGCATCATCGCATTTCGTTGCTGATACGGTTCCCACTGGGAACTCTTTCAGTTGGCTCCTGGTTCCTTGGACACACCCCATCAATGTGGGTTTCTTACTAATATTTTCTTAGGATCTGGCACTACAAGATGCTCCAGACTCACCTTGTATATTTCTTGCCCTAGTCCTAGAATTGGCCACTTCTCCAAGGAGTCCCGACTCTTTTTACAGAAGGCGGTGTTAGAAACCAAGATCTGAGCACCGGGTGCGTTCACTGCTGCTGGGTGCCGTTGCGTCTCGCCCCTCTCAGCTGACAAAGCCAGAAAATGTACACGCATAATGCTTTTTCTTTTAACTAATGAGCATATATTATATTTTCTATAAGGAAGGGGGGAAACTATTCTCCTTTTGGAAACAAATCAAACAATCCAATTGTCTATCGTGTATTGGACATGTGATCTGAATATCCTAAAACCAAGGAGGTTCAACAAGAGTCACGTGTGGGAAACAGCTGGGGTCTTGGGAAATGAAAACTGGTGCAAGCCAAGCCTCTCGTTTTCCTTCTGGGAATATCTGCACAATTCAAGTGATGCAATTTCTGCGTGTTACACCGTTACTAAGACTAGATATTCTTCTCTTTTTCTAACAGGTTAACACTGAGGAAATGGCTGCCACTCTGTGCCTACGCACCCTTCTGGACTGAGAGACCCAGCATTATCAGGAACTAAATTCACACCCAGAGGCCTCTCCCACTTGGGGGACAGGGAAGGAACTCAGTGACATCTCTACTTGTCATTCTTGTCATTCAAAACTCAGACAACAGCTATGCTTCAGCCAAACTCTCTCTGGCCTCGTAGTTGTCACTGCACCTGCCGACATTAGCTGTACTATTTTGCTGACAACAACAATTGCTTCTCAGAACCAACAAGGCTTTTATGCCAGAACACTTAAACACACCCCCTTCAAGGCCCTGATAGCCAGAGCCCTTCCTAAGGAGGGCGACTAGCTCACCCACATCCACAGCCCCCAGAGTGACCACGAGGAACAGCTCCAACTGGGGCGAGGATGTCACACCCTTCCAGCGGGAGCTGACCAGTTCCCAGGGCAGCACACCCCAGCAACTCTCTAACTCCTCCTTCACAGCAATTTCTTTTCTTGAAGTGTTGTGACTTCCCCCAAATCCAATCTCCTTGTTCTCAAAGAGAACAAAAAGCTGCCTTGTGTTATTATTATTCTCTTATTATAGATCACCTGTGCCAGATTCTTTCTATTCCCTCAAATCACACTGGCTTTAACTTCACCCAGTTAGTCTTTTCACTAGATTAAACTGTACTAGAAGAGGAAACAGAATTTGCATGAATTTTTGGAGATGCCAAATTTCCACCTCATGAGTCGAAGCTCTGAGGAGGGTCCAGCCTTTCTCTAAGGATGAGCCTCCTCCTCTAAGCGGCTCCAGAGACTGACGTTAATGCCACACAGCAGTGACCCAGGCCTTCACTCTGCAGAGCAGAACTATTCCTCCACTCACAAATTTCTGCCTTACACAGTATTAATGGAACCCAAAGACATCTGAGAGAGAGAGAGATGTGTACCAAGTGTCACAACATCAAGTTGAAAAAACCCTCAACTGTCTCTGAAACTATCCAGCATTTCTGTGAGACCCCAGAGATCAGCACCGGGCTGTACACACCACCCTCCCCCACCCCAGCCCCAGGCCGTGCCCTCGCAGCCCGCACCGGAGCTCTGTACCCATGTCCTTGAACCAGCAGCTCTGGCTCCCTCAGTCTTAGACGCCAAGATGGACTCATTTCAACTATCATGGGAAGGGACACCCGAGGCTGTCCCCAGACTCCCATTTTCAGTGCATCCAGTCCTTGGAAAAGGTGGCAACAGCTCTGACATGAGCAAAGGCCCTGCACTCCAGAGAACCAAACTCAGCACCCTCGCTCTCTGGGGCAATCCACAGTTCATCCCCAAAGGGCAGGGGAGGTTCCATAGAAAGCAGCTGCAACCTGGTCAAGATTCAAACAAAATAAAAAGCCCTGTAAGAGAGAAGCCAGCTTCAAGTTACCTGCTCTCCCAGGGCCAATCAGAGCAGCCTCACAACACACCCAAACCAGGACCTGTGCGAACACAGAAAGCTCCAGTCCTGAGATCTGAGAAACAGACACACAGCTAACAGCGAGGGTAGGAGGCCCACCGGCCTGGCGGTTCCACTCCCAGCTAACTGGCAGGAACAGCCTGATCCGCCCATGTGCTCAAGACGTCCTCTCGGACAGGCGAGGATCAGCTCCAGTCCTGGCCCTTACGCAGGTTTCACTTTCCCCCATTTCACGTAAGCTGGGGTCAACCAAAATAAACAATTCACATTTTTAAACTGCAAGTCATCATAAAACAGCACAATGAAACCTCGCACCGTCCCACCAGAGACGGGAGTCATTCCTTCTGTGTCTCCACACTGTACATGCTTCCTGCCCATTAGTCAGTCACTAATCACATCGGTTATCAGATCGACTGTGATGGTGTCGTAGTGTGTATTCGAGTCACCCATATGTGCTTACTAATGCCCAAAGCACAGGGGCAGTGATGCCGGCAAGGCGGATATGCCAGCGAGAAGCCACGTTTCCGTTAAGTGAAAAGGTGAGTGTTCCCAACTAAACAAGGAAAAAGAAACCTGTACTCTGAGGTTGCTAAGATGCACAGTAAGAACAAATCTTCTAACCATGACGCTGTAAAGAGGAACAAGAAGTTTGTGCTGCTTCTGCTGCCATATCTCAAACTGCGAAAGTTAAGGCCACAGCACATGTAAGTTAGTTAAGGAGGAAAAGGCATTCAATTTGTGGGTGGAGGGCATGAACAGAAACACGTGCTGCAGCTGAGGACAGCGCGTGGTGCTGGAAAGCACTGAGCCTATAGAAAGACTTCAGTGGGGAACCCCCGGAACTCAGTGACACCAAGCCGTTCGCTGCCAAGTCACTGAATGAAAGATTCAGGAATAGGTCTGGACTAAAAAATACAAAAATGACTGGAGAGAGACAGAGAAAGTGAGCATTCACAACTTTATTACAGTACATTGTTATAACTCTCTTCTTTTTTATTATGTTGTTGTTGTTACTCTTTCACTGCATCTAATTTGTAAATTAAACTCTACCATAGGTATGTGTGCGTAAGAATGACACAGTGCACACAGGGTTCGGTACTCGCCACGGTTTCAGGCATCCACTGGGAGTCTGAAAACACACGCCCCGCACATGAGGAGACCACGGTACTTTCAAATGCCACGGATTTCTCTCAGCTCATGTGTCTGGGGCAGCGTGGAGGTGGCAGGCTAACTCTGTCCTTCAGCCCGCCGACATTATAGGCTGACTTCCAGCCACCCTCAGCACCTCGGCCGACTGGAGGTCAGATTCATAAAGTTGCCAGAATTTCATCCTGGTTCCCCTGAACTTACAATGGCAGCAGTTTTTCAAAACCAGGCACAGTGACAGGTGAGGTCCCCAGCGGGACCATTCGTGAAACACAGAAACCACAGGGAGGGTGTTCTTTCTGACGCCTCATGATTGGAGACCCTACTTCTGCAGGCTGCTCTGAAGTGGTTCCAAGGCGCTGTCACTGGACAACATGCTGCACAGGTCACCAGCCCACCATGAAGGTCGCCCGGCTGCCCCCTTGCCAGGTGGTGACGCCTGGTGAGGAGGAGCTCTCCCATCAGGAGGCTCCCTGTGACAGACGCCCGAAAAAAGACGTCAGCAGACTCCTGTCACTTATTCCATGCCTGCTGCCCACTTAGACTAATCCCTTATTCATATTTCATAGAATTGACAACTCAAAATTTTCACTACTTCTGATAAATGCCCCCCGTGAATCCAAACAGACAAGCCCCCCACTGCAAACCGAATGCCACAGGCCTGGAGTATGTGGACTCGGATTAGCCATGCAGTTAGCTCATGTGGTGGCTGGAGAAAAGCAGGCACCAAGACCTAGGCACTATTCCAATGAAAGTCACAGCAGCCTGACAAGGTCCACTGTGTGCACATCATCCTGGGTTACCCCACGAAGCACGTGCTGAGATAAAGCACTGGGCCTGGGCACCCCGCACAGCTTCAGCCGCAGCAGTCCGCCTGTCAGGACCCTGCTATCAGACCCTAGCTGTGGCGGGGCAGGCCACTGCTGAGAAAACGCATCTGTTCTCTCTTTCCGGAACCAAGGCCGACTGCTCACTGGAGTGGGTGGGGTATGGAAGAAGGTGGGCACAGGACACCTCCATGCCACAGCTGTCCCCACCCCCGCCCCCTCACCCCTGGCAGCCTGCTCAGCCACCAAGTCGGAGGACCCATTTCATCCAGAGGAAGTGAGAATTAAAACCATAGGAGATGGCAGACATCGGCCAGAAAGGCTGCAAGTAAAAAGTGTGACACCAGCAAAAAAAAATGGACAAACTGTGGTGTGTTACATAACAAATACTAACCAGCATGAATGTGCAATGTGGTGGAATCTCAAAAAACGCTGCGTGGAAGATGGCTTCCCCTAAAGAACACATGTTGTATGACCGCGTCTGTCCGAGGTGCCAGATCAGGCAAACCGAATACACGGTGGGAGAGGCCAGGAGAGTCCTTGCCCCTGGAGGGTGGTGAGGTCATGGGGTGGCCGGGAAGGGCACAGCAACCAAGGCTCACAGGCGCACACATGTGTCATAACCCAAGAGCACGCACTCAAAATGTGTGCAGTTCATTGTAGGTATTTGAAAAGTTAAACAGTGAACTCTACTTAGCAATACACGCATTCTGGTGTTTGGGGGAAATGTACAGATGTCTCTGCACTTTTGGTCGAAATACATAAAAAAAAATGAGTGCCTAGCAGTATAGATATGAACGAATAGGTAATAAAACAAGTATAGTGAAATATCAACAGTGGAATCCAGGTGGGAAGATATGTAAGTATTTACTAATTCTTTCTAGTCAGTGAATGTTGGGAAAATTTTCAAAACTGGAAAAAAAAAAAGAAAGAAAAGCCCCAGGAGATACCAGTGCACCCTCTGGGGCTCAGCCCCGCCCACGAGTCAGTGAGGCTCGGGTGAGCCCGAGTGAGAGGGGGCTGGAGGGCAGGACGCTGTGAGCAGCACACGGTGTGGAGGCCTCAGCGCCGGAGACCCCCTAAGGGCTGTCCAACCTCCTGGCGTCTCTGGGCCGCACTGGAAGAAGAGTTATCTTGGGACGCACATTAAATACACAAACACTAACGAAAACTGATGAGGAAAGGAGAGGTTTTAAGTACATGTACGATTTTGTGTTGGGCCGCACTCACTTCCATCCTGGCCCCACGCAGCCTGCAGGCTGGACGCCCCTGCAACAGCACATGCACCCGAGGGACGTGCACAAGGACGCTCACGCCAGCAGGGGCACTGCTCGCAGGGAGAAAAGAAAAGGCCCATTCGCAGGAGAAGGGAGACACAAGTTGTGGTGTACTCTACAATGGAACGACATACAGCACGAGGCCCCCGCAACACGAGTTACTCATACTGCTGCATTTTTCAGGCATGTGCATTAGAACTAATGCGGCTAGAGTAGATTAACGCCATCTCTGTCCATCTCTAACTCAATAAAAAGAATCATTCATATGAAACTATATGCAGTAAGTTACTACTGGTGAAACTGAAAAGGCAGCAGACAGAAGTTACTGCACTTTCCGACACCCCACACCTTACCTGCTTCGAGTAGCCCCCGTAGACGACGATGCTGCCCTGGGGAGTGACGGACACCTGGCAGCCTGATCTGGGTGTGGGACCAGTCCCTGCTGGGGACAGCTTGCTCCACGTGAATGTGTCCAGGTTAAAGGCATACACGTCATTGTAATAGATGTAATCTCTGGTTATAATAAATAAAGTCACACAAACAAAAACACAGTGACATTAAAAAGCAGACCTAATTTAAAGTTAAGTTTTCCACCATTTGCTGTCAGTTTAATTAAAACTTAAATTCATGACAGGACTGAAAGCATCTGTGAGTTTGCATTTGAAGATAAAAATAATGCTAGACCATAGAAACATAGTCATTTGTCCGGATCTGAAAGTCTTTCTAATCTGAAAGTTATACCATACTTCCTTTATGTAGTTTATAAAATCACCATCTTGCAAATAATCACATCAGGTTACTATGCATGTGATTTTAAGTTTAACAATGAACTACAGACCTAAAGGAATTCTCAGCACAGAGATACCTACAGCTCGGCAAAGCGGCAAAGAGACCCTGGACTGGGTGGAGAAACGGGGCCAGGAAGGCCCGAAACTGAAAGACGCCCGAGGCTCAACTTCAACTCCATCAGCACAGGCAATAACCACCAGGACCTGGTTGAGACCTTCTAGGAAGCACCTCGGCCCTGATCTGTTTAATGCTCCTGGGACTCAAGTGACCAAGGACTCAAACTGCAGAGAAGGCCTCGCGGAGGGTGCCCCAGGTGCAGGGGAAGCAGCAGCTCTGCCCGACACATAGGAAGAATGTTGTGTCCAGACATGGGATTTTTACAGATGGCCACAGGCCTCAGGTCAAAATTATACCCACAAAGTAACAGACACTCTCCAGCTATTCAGAAGGGAGTGCTTAGAACTGACTTTCACAAGCCATGAAGGAAGCAAACAGCTCCAACCCAGTCTGAAGGAACCTCTGTCCTGTACACTGCACACTCTAACACTCCGAGACTGGGCTCCACAGCAGAAGGACCGCTACGCCTGCCCGTACCCTCGAACACCGCGCAAAGCACGGCCTCTGAAACAGAACAAGCCATCTGGTGGGCGACAGGAGACCTGAACTTTCCGACTGGCAGCATGGTCAAATACACCCTTTTGTGGGTAGAACACGGAGGCTTGTAGTTTTTAAAAGACGTCACCACATCCCACTGTTTCCTCAGATTTCCCACTGCAGATTTTCAGCAAAAATATACTATTCTGAACATACAGTAACTGTCAACTGTTCTTGGGTTTTTAAAAGTCAAACTCACCTGTTTAATATGGACAGTGATGACACAGCTATTTGTTCTAGTGCCTTCATCTTATTGCTGTGTTTGAAATACGTCATAAACGGTCATTTTAACCAAGGCAACAGACAATAATAGCTTTGGAAAAAAGTTCTGATTTTGAAATGGTTGCAAATTACAAGCACTTGTAAAACCTGATTTGCTTTATAACCTGGAGCACCAGGACGAGGGGCTGCCCTGCACGCTGTGGGTGCTGAATTAGTCTGCTGACAGAGCCATGAATCCCCATGTCTGTACAGATATTTCTTTGTATAAAAACGTTCCAGGAATAAATAAAAATGACCATCCCTTGGGTATTAATTTTTTAAAGTAGCCCAGACTCTCTTGTCCAAATGGCAACGACTAACCAAACTCCTCCTCGGCAGGAGGCAGACCTGGGGCAGCGAGCCGGGGCGAGAGCAGAGGACAGAACGTAAGACCCACTGAAATCCGCAATCTCTGGTTACGGCCAAGTTCTACTTCTTAGTAGTTCTCTTGGTTTCCTCAACTTCCACTTGAGATAATGAAACAGCTTTAAGAGAATGTGTAAAAACCACTTGGTAAACTGCATCACAAGACATTAAACTAAAGAGTGTTTACACCCAAGTCATGCCTTTAAGGATACAAAATCACTTCTTGTTTAATTTGAATTATACTTTTAAAACCCCACCCAAAAGCATTTAAGAATTTATATCTCTGTTTCTCAATTCATAAAAAATTCTTTATTCATGAAGAACATGGACATGTTAATGGAGCCAAGCTACACTACAATCCTCGGCTGGGGGAGTGGGGGTGGGAGACAATTACAACACTCACTCCTCGCTCACCAAACGCCTCCTTCTTCACGTGTGTGTGTGTGTGTGAGGGCTTCGTTCCATATGCCAGTCATTATCAAAAAAAATTGTGCAAATGGATCTATAACTCGACAAAGTGTCAATGGGGCCTCCACAACAACAAATTAATAAGTATGCTATTTTTTAAAGGAGAGAGGAGAGTGAAAATGAGGCACTCAGAGAAAGATAGCCATCCACCCTCTTTGTCAAGGTCATGGTCAGAGAAAAAGCACTGCAAACATGGCCTTCACCAGGCATTCGTCTAGGCCTTTACTACCCCAAATGCTACTGTATTACAATGGCTACAGGAATACCACTAACTTCTTCACCATATACCCTGATTTTCTAGACTACACTAAGGACATTCAAGAGGGTATCTGTACAGACAACAGGCTTAAGACAATCAGGGGCCCGCCAGGCTGGCCTGGGAAACCAGTGTGGTGCACACCAAGGTGACCATGACACTGGAGGAGAAGTGGAGGCCCCTCCTCAGACACCACGTAGAACACTAGCTAGCGCTGCCTTCCCCAGCAAGGGAGGGGCCCCCCAGCCAGCAGCATCAGCATCACCTACAAGTCAGCAGAAATGCAGATCCTCAGGCCCCAGGCCTTCTGAGTCGGAAACCTGAGGTGGGCTCAGCGGCCAGAGTTTTAACCAGCCCTCCAGGGGATCCTGAACCAGGCTCAAGTCTGAGAATCCTGTGTTAGAGAAGACTAACCACACCATCTGCAGGGCTTGGTGCAAAATAAAAATGTGCGGCCTGTTCAATGATGGTTAAGAATTTCAGGACAGTGGGAGCAGAACAGTAAACCAAGCCCAGGCCCTCCTACGTGTGGGGCCCTGGCTGGCTACTTCAGCTGCAAGCCCATGATGCTGGCACTGGTTTTAGAAGATGGGTAGCATTTTTCATGCGTATTCAGAATAATTCTTCCCACAAAAAGTCCATTCCTTACTGCTCCAGGAAAGAAAACTCTTCCTGCTGTTGGCACCAACCTTGCACTCTCATGGAAGCCACCAAAAACGATTAACTGTCTCTTCCAGGCGACCATCCGATGTCCACTCCGACCTGAAGGGCCTCCTGGGGATCTAAAGTTAAAAAAAACAACAACAAAAGACCACGTTTTAGACCGATTTCTGTTTTGCAAGCACTTACTGAGTATCATTTAATTTGACCAGGAGCTTTTGCAGACTTCAACGAGCTCCTCAAAAATGCTGAAGGCATGAACCCCAACACTGACAGGTTTTCTGTAATAGAGAGGAATGTTCGTGGTGTCTTATCTGCTTACAAACACATCTGTGATGAAAATAAGAAACAAACCTAGCCGACCTCTAGGGACATATTTTTGAAAGGAGTGGGACCTCCTCAAGCACAGCCTCCAGTAGGCCCTTCAGGAGTCATCCAGGAGAAGGCGTTGTTATCACAGATGACAGGGACACGTGTGTCACTGCCCCAGAAGACCTTCCCACGGGACAGGCGCGGAGGTGGGAGGCCGAGTGCTGACGGCCCTGACTCTCCGCAGGCTTAAGCTGACGCAGGTGTTCGTGTCAGTTTTTAACAAAAAATGTTTAAAAAGTAAAATAAAAATTAAAAACTTTTAAATGGATAAAAGCTTACAAAATAAGGATATAAAGAAAGAAAATGTATTCGTACAACTATACGACATGTCTGTGTTTCATACATGCAGTGCAGCCTGAGTGTCCAGTGTCTACAGAGCCCGCAGCGGTGTGGTGCACAGCAATGCCCAAGGCCTTCTCCTCACTCACCACTCACTCACCGACTCACCCAGAGCAACTTCCAGTCCTGCAAGCTGTTTTCATGGTAAGCACCCTATACTGGTGCACCGTTTTTTATCTCTTGTACTGTATTTTTTACTGTACATTTTCATTGTTCATCGCTTACAGTACTTGGTACAGTAACATGATGTACGAGCTTGCAGCCCAGGAGCAACAGACTGGATTACACAGCCTAGGGGCGCAGCGGGCCGTGCCATCCAGGTTTACAGAAGCGCACTCTGTGACGCTTGCGCAGTGACAGAGTCACCTAATGACACATTCCTCAGTACACATGCCCGTCAGTAAACACTGCATACCTGCAGATGAGTTCTTAAAAAGTTCTTCAGAGAAATGGAATACACATCAGAAACATAAAGAGCATCGAAGAGGTAAAAATAATAAAATTTTTTACCTAATTGATCTAAAAGATAACAACTTGTTTAAAATAATAGAGAATATATTTCATTATGTATACTTATATGTAAGTAAAATGAATGACAGCAATGATACAAAGGAGAGAGGTAAGGAATTAGAATGATTTTTTACAATAAAGTACTCATATCACTCATGAAGTCATTTAGTGTTATTTGAAAGTGTACTTGGATTAATTGTAAATGTCAGGCAACCACTAAAAAACAGTATAACTCATATGCTAAGAGAGAAAATATAATCATATGAAATGCATAATTAAAACCACAAAAGGCAAAAAGAGTGAAAGAAAAACATAACAAATATCAAAGCAAAAAATAGAAAGCAATAATGAATGTAATAAAAATGAGGCCAACTGTAGCATATCAATGATCTAAATGCATGAATTAAAAGTCACAGATTGTCAGAGTGGATCAAAACACAGGAGCCACAATATGTTGTCTACAAGAAACCCACGTTAGAGGCACATACAGATTTAAAGTAAGTGGATGCTGAGGACCATGCTAACAGTAATCAAAGGAGAGCAAGAGTAGCTAAATTCATTTCAGACAGAACAGACTTAAAAACAAAGAAAGTTATGAGGGATTTTTTTTTTAAAGATTTTATTCATCCATTTTTAGGGAGGGAAGGGAGGGGGGAGAGGGAGGGAGGGAGGGAGGGAGGGAGAGAGAGAGAGAGAGAGAGAGAGAGAGAGAGAGAACATCAATGTGCGGTTGCTGGGGGTTATGGCCTGCAACCCAGGAATGTACCCTGGCTGGGAATAGAACCTGGGACACTTTAGTTCCCAGCCCGCGCTCAATCCACTGAGCTACGCCAGCCAGGGCTATGCGGGATTTTTTAAAAGACATTACATAATTGTAAAGGAAAACTGTAAAAATTCTCTAAAAAGATGTAACAATTCTTAACACATGTGCACCTAATGACAAAGTGCCCAAACTATGTGAGGTAAAACTAATAGAATACCAATAAAAGACAGATGAATTCACTATCATAGTTGGAGAAATTAATGTCTTTCTCTAAAAAATGGACAGATACAGCAGGGAGAAATCAGTAAGAACATAGTTGGACTCAACTAACTCAATCAACTGGATATAACTGACACCTATAGACTACTTCATCCAAAGATAGCAGAATATACTTTTTTCTCAAGTTCACATAGAACACTCACAAAGACAGATCATGATCTGGGCCAGAAAACACACTTTAATGAATTTTAAAAAACAAAAATCAGCCCCGGCTGGGGTAGCTCAGTGGATTGAGTGCTGTCCTGCAAACCAAAGGGTTGACAGTTTGGTTCGAAGCCAGGGCACATGCGTGGGATGTGTGACAGACAACCACACATGGGTGTTCCTCTCCGTTTCTTTCTCCCTCCCTTCCCCCCTCTCTAAAAATAAGTAAAAACTTTAAAAAATAAAAATAAAAATAAAAATCAAAGTCTGCTTTGGAATTAAACTAGAGCACAGTGGAATTAAACTAGAAATCAGTAACAGAAAGATAACTGAAAAATCCCAAAATATGCAGATATTAAACAACATACTTCTAAATAACACATGGATCCAAGGAGAAATTTTAAAATATTTTGAACTGAATGAAAATGAAAACTACTTATCAAAATTTGAGGGATGCAGAGAAAACAGTGCTAAGAAGTAAATTTATAGGATTGAATGCACATATTAGAAAAGGAGAAAGATCAAAAATCAATAATCTAAATTTCTACCTTGGGGAAGTGAAAAAAGGGAAATCAAATCTAAAGTAAGCAGATGAAAATAAGTAACAAGAAACAAGCCAGAAATTAATGAAATTGAAAACAGAAAAGCAACAGAGAAAAATCAACAAAACCAAAATCTGGTTCTTCAGAAAGATCAATAAAATTGACAACCCTCTAATGAAGCTAAGAGAACATGAACACACAAATGACTAACACCAGAAATGAAAGTAGAAACATCACATACCACATGGAAATCAAAACAATAAAGGAACAGTATGAACAACTCCATGCCCACAAATCTGATTACCCAGATGAAATGGACCAATTCCGTAAAAGATAATTTGCCAAAACCCACGCAAGAAGAAACAGATGATCTTAAGAAGCCTGTATCTATTAAAGAAATGGAATCAATAATTAATAACCTTCAAAAACAGACAGCACCAGGCCCAAATGGCTTTGCTGGAGAATTCTAACAAACACGGAAGGAAATCATAGCAATCCTCCATTATGTCTTCCAGAGAGTCGTTCCTATCCTCTGTCCAGTGCTATCCTAATACCAAAACCAGACAAAAACAACACAAGAAGACTACATACCAATGCCTCCAGCAAACATAGATGCAAAAATCCTCAATGAAATACTAGCAAAATAAATCTGAAAAGTACAAAAATATGATGACCAAGTGGGATTTATGCTGGGTATGCCAGGCCGGTTCAACATTCAAAAATCAATTAATATAATCCACCACATCAGCAGAGTAAAAAGAGAAATCGCATGACAATAAAGAAAAAGCCATTTAACAAAGCATCTATTCATGATAAAAAAAACAAACAAAAAAACCTCAGTAAACTAGGAACAGAGAACATTCTGAACTTGACAAAGAACTACCAAAAAAAATAATCTACAGCTAATACCACACTTGATAATTAAAAACTCAAAGCTGCCCCGTCTAGGACGAACCCTTTCACCACTCCTTTTTGGTACTGTATTGGAAGTCCTTGCTAATGCAGTAAGGCAAGAAAAGTCTACAGAATTTATACCTACTGAGAAGGAAGATACAAAACTATCTTTGTTACTAAATGGCATATTCATCTATGCATGGGTTGGCCAAAAAGTTAGTTTGCTTTTTTCTATTAAGACAGCTCTAGTAGCACTTGTCTTTAACTTCATTTGAAACAATTTTGTTGGATTGTAATGTGACAGCTGTCATATCAGCATGCATTTAAAAAACTTATCAAAATTGGTGAATTTTTGTGTAGCCATTTTAACATTGAAGGTGGAAGAAAATACGCAACATTTTCAGCATATTATGCTTTATTATTCCAAAAAAGGTAAAAAAAATGCAACTGAAATGCAAAAAAAAAGATTTGTGCAGTGTATGGAGAAGGTGCTGTGACTGATCAAACGTGTCAAAAGTGGTTTGTGAAATTTCATGCTAGAGATTTCTCAGTGGATGATGTGATGCTCCATGGTCAGGTAGACCAGCTGAAGTCGACAGTGATCAAATCAAATCAAAGATATTAACTGAGAACAATAAATGTTATACCAGGTGGAAGATAGCCAACACACTCAAAATATCCAAATCAATAAAGTTATTGGTGAAAATGAAAATTCTATCTTTTACTTTATAGGGAAAAAAACAACCACCCATACAGACTTTCTGGCTAACCCAAAAAGAAATTCAGAAGAGTTGAAAAGAAAACTCCTAGAACTAATAAGCAATTATAGCAAAATTGTAGGCAACAAAGTTAATATACAAAAGTCAATTGTTTACTTACAAACCGACAGTGAACAAGTGAAATTTGAAATTAAAACAATAGCATTTACATTAACACCCTAAAATAAAATACACTGGTATAAACCTAACAAAACATGTACAAGATCTATGTAGGGAAAACTACCAAATTCTGACAAACTCAAAAAGAACTAAATACATGGATGAACACTCTGTGTTTGTGGAGAGGAAGACATTAACTGTCAAGATGTCAGTTCTTCCTAATTTGATCTCTAAATTCAATGTAATCTCCATCGAAATCCCAGCAAACTATTTTATGAATACCAACATACTGATTCCAAAGTTTACAAGGAGAAGCAAAAGCCCCAAAATAGCCAACACAATATTAAAGGAGAACAAAGTGGAAGACTAACACAACCTGAGTTCAAAAACACTCAAGACAG